TGTTTTCGTTTGWTACAGGAATCAATGTCAGACCTRTTCAGTCATTTTCAGCATAATGGCATAGAGGCTCATATGTATGCCTCGCAGTGGTTTCTGACGTTGTTCACAGCAAAGTTCCCTCTTTCGATGGTTTTCTGGATTATTGACATTGTGCTTTGCTTGGTAAGGAAAGATTCTGTGATGCTAAATGTAAACAGCTTTTTATTGTAGATTAATAATGTTTTATTTTGATGCAGGGGACTGATTTTGTCTTTCAAATGGCTGTGGCTTTACTCAAGGTAACTATGAGCGGGCTTCCTGTGTTATTCGCAAGATGTCACCACTGCCTGTTGCCTCTTTATTGAATAAAAAAAGTATTTCCTATCTGAAAAGATCCTAAAAGTGACCACAATTCATATTATAAGGACGTTATAATAATATAATTATAATATGTTAAGCGTTTTTAAGGTAAAAGTTAAAACAACGACAACAAAAAGTTAAAACGCTCATTTCAAAATCGTTTGGGTGTATCTTTGGACAGGATGCAAGGAAAGAGCTCCTTCAACTGGACTTTGAAGGAATTCTCAAGTATTTCAGGGTTACAATGCCCAAGAAATACATGGATGAAGAACGCTATAAACAGCTGTTTGCTTCAGCACTTGGCATCAAGGTAAATGCTAAARTCTATATAGCAAGTATGAAAGAAAGTTTTGATACTGACATTTTTTAATAATTAGTCTCCATGTGGCATAGATATATGTCGAAACATACCAAGATTTTAAAAATTGTAGTATTCATGACGTTTGATAACATTTTAATAGAATACAAGTATTTCGCAAAACTTTGTCACAGAGAAGTTTACCATTTCTACTTTAGAGCAAAAGGAAGAATAGTCTTCTTCATGGTTCCCTGCGCCATCTTGAAAGGTAGCCGTGCCTTTACATCGAAGCGAGACTACCGTTGAGTGTGCAATGATAGATACCTGTGAATAATTGTCTGTTGGTGTGAAAAAAGGTTTCTATCATTACACGCTCAACGTTCGTCTAGCTTCGATACAAAGATACGATTACCTTTCAAGATGGCGCAGGGAACCCTGAAAAGGACTATTAAAGATTAAAATAGGATCACTGAGGCACAACGCTTTTTCAGGGATGCGTGCAGGGGTTTAATGAGAGAGGAGAATGGGTCAGAACGAACTGTCGGAATATCCTAAAATATGTTACGCTGTTGATTTAACAAAGTCTCGATCATATTTCGAAGGTTTCGTCAGTCAAGGGAA